TATTGGTTTCAAACTGGATTCAACAAACATTGCTTCGTGGTCAGAAATTCCTGGAATGATTTCCACTCTATTGATCAGTGTGGGTTGCTGGTGAAAAATGAAGTCAATATTGTATCCATATTTTCAGTGATCTTGATTAGCTTTTCTATGTTTCAGTGTATTTGCATTACGCATGCTACTTTTGTATCTTGCGCGAGATGTTTGGATTAGAATTAAATATTTGCAATGGAAGTGATAAATGAAACTTTCTCTGGATAACATTTCTATTTTAATTCTTTTTTATTGTAACAAATAGGCACAGATTGGCTGATTAGGCTATAGGTATATGACATCAGTCCATGAAGTTAGTAAACATCGAGGAAGACGATGTATATCGCACATACCGACATGTGACGTCATATGTATCACAGCAATTGATGACGTTACACACAAATATCCATCAGAACACTTTAGAAACCTTTCCCTTATCGCTGTATTCTACCTGTCAATCAGAACACTTTAGAAACCTTTCCCCTATCGCTGTATTCTACCTGTCCATCAGAACACTTTAGACTCCTTTCCCTGATCGCTGTATTCTACCTGTCCATCAGAACACTTTAAGCACCTTTCCCTTTTCTCTGTATTCTACCTGTCCATCAGAACACTTAAGGCACATTTCCCTTTTCGCTGTATTCTACCTGTCCATCGGACCACTTTAGACACCATTCCTTTATCGTTGTATTCTACCTGTCCATCAGAACACTATAAACACCTTTCCTTTATTGCTGTATTATACCTGTCCATCTGAACACTTTAGACACCTTTTCTTTATCGCTGTATTCTACCTGTCCATCAGAACACTTTAGACACATTTCCTTTATCGCTGTATTCTACCAGTCCATCAGAACACTTTAGACACCTTTCCTTTATCGCTGTATTCTACCTGTCCATCAGAACACTATAAACACCTTTCCCTCATTGCTGTATTCTACCTGTCCATAAGAACACTTTAGACACCTTTCCTTTATCGCCGTATTTAACCTGTCCATCAGGACACTTTAAACACCGTTTCTTTATCGCTGTATTCTACCTGTCCATCAGAACACTATAAACACCTTTCCCTCATTGCTGTATTCTACCTGTCCATAAGAACACTTTAGACACCTTTCCTTTATCGCCGTATTTAACCTGTCCATCAGGACACTTTAAACACCTTTCTTTTGTTGCTATATTCTACCTGTCCATCAGAACACTATAAACACCTTTCCTTTATCGCTGTATTCTACCTGTCCATCAGAACACTATAAACACCTTTCCCTCATTGCTGTATTCTACCTGTCCATCAGAACACTTTAGACACCTTTCCTTTATCGCCGTATTTAACCTGTCCATCAGGACACTTTAAACACCTTTCTTTTGTTGCTATATTCTACCTGTCCATCAGAACACTATAAACACCTTTCTCTTATTGCTGTATTCTACCTGTCCATCAGAACACTTTAGGCACCTTTCCTTTATCGCTGTATTCTACCCGTCCATCAGAACACTTCAGGATACTATTTATTCCTTTGACCTTATTACCACTGATGAATCCAAAGTGACAAAATGGCAATATGGTACAGTAAAATGTCATTTTGTTTGGCTTGTAGCCTTTCCATATTTTTCGTATCTCTAATTATTTACTATACATTCTTAACTTCAGATAAATGACACTATCGACTCTACGAAATCGCCGCTTCCCAACCTTTTCAAATACGATCAGCAGAGACGCCGTATTTATGATTAATTGTCTGAAAAACATGGGGACTTCAACTCTCCTGTATTGAACTTTCCCTTTCTTGATAGTAGCATTTCTGCTTTTCCCCATTAAGATCACTGATTAAATATGACTTATGCTAAGACTTTAGAGTCAACAACAAGACTTAAACTTGAATGAGGTAGTCAAATCATTCCTAACAAAATATCTTTGCTAAACACCAACAACTACACTATTTCAAATCCTAACTTATTAAAGGATTCTACTCATGAAATGCAGGCAAAAAATACAAACACAAAGTATTATAAATTACATTAAGTGAGATTTTATTTTATCATACATGTAATTCTGTAATCTGTGTACACACATCCAGAAGAATAAAGTTTACGGTCATAGATAACACTAGTGTGTTATTTAAAGGGGAAACATGGCACAAGTATACCCTAACTACATATTGAATGTTGATAAGGCTGTTTATTAGATATCTTACTCTAACAACGGTGAATATGACCAATTTTGTCCCATCATTTTTTTGCCCTCTGGTAAATAAAACTGTCTCATGTTGAATTTGCCTACATCATTATGGTTCCAACACTTCTAGCTTTATATCCCATTTGTGCTGTGTTAAATGTGCTAACTTGGGCTAATATGCAAGAGGGGTATATATTTCTAGTTTTACAGCAGAATTAATATTAAATATTAATCTGGTCAATTTTATGGGCAAATGAAACAGACAACATTTGGTATTTTGATATAATTAGCCCTAGTAGAAATTGAAATATAATTATTATTATTATATAAGAGTATAAAACTTGAGGGCAAAACAATAAAACTTTTCAAATCTCTGAAGATTTATTGTGTTGACATGCAAATTGAAACTCATATTTTCGATGTTTTTACAGCCATGAAATCATTATGTCTACAATGAGTTTTTAGGGTCGTTTGATGCAGAAACAAGGTCTGAACTAAGGGTAACTAAGTGACCTGACCCATCCTCTTCTGTCAATTAGGGTGAGTGCTGCTATTAAAACATATACGGTTATCTGATAACATTCTGAGGTAATTAACATTCAAACATTAAAGAGGTTTTTAATGAATTTGTTTACACAAATAGTGACTGGTACAGTAGCACAGACAGATCCAACATTTAAAGTACAACATTTTATTGTAAGTTGTCTAGAAATATCATTATGCTTTAGATATTTTTAATTTATGGATACTAAAGGGAAAAAAAACACTTTTAAAAATCTCAATATGGCTAATTGGTACATTAAATAACAGTACCTAGATATTAATGTACAAACCGTTGTGTTGTGTATATGTTTCCTTAGAATCACATCTTTAGACATTAAAAACATATCATATATTCCTAAGTAATGACATATCTATGACACAGAAAATATTGTCTTTGTAATTATGAGAAAAACACATTTTCTAGAATAAATACAGAACAGCTATTTAAATAAATTTCACAAATAATATATATATATATACATTAAAATATGATTAAAATTCCTACAGTTCCGCGTTTTGATTAATATTAACTTCTTTATATGATTATGTGAAATGAACTGTAGATTATAAGTTTTCACCTTAATTGAGCTTTATACTTAATTCATACCATGCATATGATCACTTCAAATTTGTGTGGAAAACATGAAATACAATATTCACGCTGCTTCCTGTTAGGAGAACTTCTCATAACTAAAACAAAAACCTTCAGTGCCTCATCATAGGCCATCTAAACCTGACATTAGATAATCACTGCCTCATTATTGGCCATCTTAACCTGACATTAGATCATCAATGCCTCATCATAGGCCATCTTACCCTGACATTAGATAATCACTGCCTCATTATTGGCCATCTTAACCTGACATTGGATCATCAATGCCTCATCATAGGCCATCTTACCCTGACATTAGATAATCACTGCCTCATTATAGGCCATCTTAACCTGACATTAGATAATCACTGCCTCATTATAGGCCATCTTAACTTGTCATTAGATCATCAGTGCCTCATCATAGGCCATCTTAACCTGACATTAGATAATCACTGCCTCATCATAGGCCATCTTAACCTGTCATTAGATAATCACTGCCTCATCATAGGCCATCTTAACCCGACATAAGATCATCAATGCCTCATCATAGGCCATCTCAACCTGACATTAGATCATCACTGCCTCATCATAGGCCATCTTAACCTGTTATTAGATCATCAATGCCACATCATAGGCCATCTTAACCTGTCATTAGATCATCAGTGCCTCATCATAGGCCATCTTAACCCGACATAAGATCATCAATGCCTCATCATAGGCCATCTTAACCTGACATTAGATCATCAGTGCCACATCATAGGCCATCTTAACCTGTCATAAGATCATCAATGCCTCATCATAGGCCATCTTAACCTGACATTAGATCATCACTGCCTCATCATAGGCCATCTTAACCTGTCATTAGATAATCACTGCCTCATTATTGGCCATCTTAACCTGTCATTAGATCATCAATGCCTCATCATAGGCCATCTTAACCTGACATTAGATCATCACTGCCTCATCATAGGCCATCTTAACCTGTCATTAGATCATCAATGCCTCATCATAGGCCATCTTAACCTGACATTAGATCATCAATGCCTCATCATAGGCCATCTTAACCCGACATAAGATCATCAATGCCACATTATTGGCCGTCTTAACCTGACATTAGATCATCAATGCCACATCATAGGCCATCTTAACCTGACATAAGATCATCACTGCCTCATCATAGGCCATCTTAACCTGACATAAGATCATCACTGCCTCATCATAGGCCATCTTAACCTGTTATTAGATCATCAATGCCACATCATAGGCCATCTAAACCTGACATTAGATCATCACTGCCTCATCATAGGACATCTTAACCTGTCATTAGATCATCAATGCCTCATCATAGGCCATCTTAACCTGACATTTGACCATCACTGCCTCACCATAGGCCATCTTAACCTGACATTAGATAATCACTGCCTCATCATAGGCCATCTTCACCTGACATTAGATCATCAATGCCTCTTCATAGGCCATCTTAACCTGAAATTAGATAATCACTGCCTCACCATAGCCCATCTTAACCTGACATTAGGTCATCAATGCCTAATCATAGGCCATCTTACCCGGTCATTAGATAATCACTGCCTCACCATAGCCCATCTTACCCTGACATTAGACCATCACTGCCTCATCATAGGCCAACTTAACCTGTCATTAGATAATCACGGCCTCATCATAGGCCATCTTAACCTGACATTAGGTCATCACTGCCTAATCATAGGCCATCTTAACCTGACATTAGATCATTAATGCCTCATCATAGGCCATCTTAACCTGACATAAGATCATCAATGCCTCATCATAGGCCATCTTAACCCGACATAAGATCATCAATGCCTCATCATAGGCCATCTTAACCTGACATTAGGTCATCAATGCCTAATCATAGGCCATCTTAACCTGACATTAGATCATCTACAGGAAGTAACATCTCTGGAATGAGGGTTTCACTACCAGCCATAAACATCTATTATTTTGTATCTGTATGGAAAAGACTTTCACTACCGGTAATAAACATAAAATTCATTACATCTAGGAAATGCCCAAAGTATTGCTGCAAAAGTCATCATTACTTCCTTCCATCACAATACTAATCACATCACCATAGCAACAGTACTATCCCTGTACGTTGCCATAGGTACCGTTTGGAGGTCTGTACTGTTTTGGAAAGTACATGAGCTGTAGAGCATTAAAGGCGTACTTCTTGACACCAACATTTTTGTGGGTGTTCTCCCTTCTCACTCCCTCACTGTAATGAAAAAACGAAATAAAGCCCACATTATTTGTCTTGTATGATTAACATCACTGTAGTGTGGTAAGGTTATCTGGTTTATTACGTAGACAAACCTTATACAGTACACCATGTCTAAACTGGACCCATCTAAACTGGAACCTGTCTAATCCAGTCCTTGTTTATACTAGTTTTTTGTAATATATAATCCAGACTTTGTTTGGCATTATGGAAATAGGCATCGCTTCAACAAACTTGCTCTAGATATCCATGTAAAAAACACAATCACTCCATTCATGAATTTCAATTTTAGGAGTCAGCTATTCTTGCAAAAGTGTTTTTGAAGATCAATATTGATAATTGAATACATTCTCTATGCTTGATAAATAATATCAAGTAATTGTGAATTATCTATTTTGTAACAATTATAATACCTTATTTCCATCAGCAAACTTCCTATGAATACATACACTAGGTCAGAGAGACACATACATTGGGTAACTGAGACACACAGAGGTCACAGACACACATACATTAGGTCACAGATACACAGAGGTCACATATACACATACATTAGGTCACACAGACACATACATTAGGTCACACAGACACATACATTAGGTCACAGACACACATAGGTCACATATACACATACATTAGGTCACACAGACACATACATTAGGTCACAGACACACAGAGGTCAAAGAGACACATACATTAGGTCACTGAGACACACAGAGGTCACAGAGACACATACAGGTCACAGAGACACACAGAGGTCACAGATACACATACAGACACACAGAGGTCACAGATACACATACAGGTCACAGAGACACATACATTAGGTCACAGATATACAGAGGTCACAGAGACACATACATTAGGTCACACAGACACATACATTAGGTCACAGAGACACATACATTAGGACACAGAGACACATACATTAGGTCACACAGACATATACATTAGGTCACACAGACACATAACTTAGGTCACCCAGACACATAACTTAGGTCACACAGACACATAACTTAGGTCACCCAGACACATAACTTAGGTCACACAGACACATAACTTAGGTCACCCAGACACATAACTTAGGTCACACAGACACATAACTTAGGTCACCCAGACACATAACTTAGGTCACACAGACACATAACTTAGGTCACACAGACACATAACTTAGGTCACACAGACACATAACTTAGGTCACACAGACACATAACTTAGGTCACCCAGACACATAACTTAGGTCACACAGACACATAACTTAGGTCACCCAGACACATAACTTAGGTCACACAGACACATAACTTAGGTCACACAGACACATACATTAGGTCACACAGACACATACATTAGGTCACACATACACATACATTAGGTCACAGAGACACATACATTAGGTCACAGATATACATACATTAGGTCTTACAGACACATACATTAGGTCAAACAGACACATAAATTAGGTCACACAGACACATACATTAGGTCACACAGACACATAAATTAGGTCACACAGACATATACATTAGGTCACACAGACACATAACTTAGGTCACACAGACACATACATTAGGTCACACATACACATACATTAGGTCACAGAGACACATACATTAGGTCACAGATACACATACATTAGGTCTTACAGACACATACATTAGGTCAAACAGACACATAAATTAGGTCACACAGACACATAAATTAGGTAACAGACATGTTAGGTCACTGACATACATTTATTACACTTTTACCAGTGAAATATTAGATTCTATTAACTTGATAAAACTTTAATTTTTCACACTGTGATAAATATCAATTGACCAATCATAATGATATCTTCTATTCGCTGCATTCAAAGGCACCAATATTTTGTTCAGATTCAAATGAAGCGATGGTAGAATAAGTGGTTGTTATGGTAAATTTGTGGTACAGACACTTAAGTATTTACAAAAATATACAATTAATAACATTTTTATAAGCAATCATATCAGAAAATGTCGGAATTGCATTGAGTATCCAATTCAAAATGGCGTGCAGCCTTGTTGTCAAGCGTGACGTCATTAGAATATGGCGCTAATTATTACGTTTCTGGTTCTGCCCTTTTTTAAACGCCTTACTTTTTATCATAGTTAATATATAAGTAGTTCCACTCACCTCCTAAAGCAGTCGAGGGCCTGTGAAAATACATGGGAGGCGAGGTCGTGTTCTTGCTGTAGGTTCTTTACCTGTTCAAGTGTGACGGACATAGCCGTCCGGTCCTTGGCACTTTTACAGCTCGTGAACCGAATGCCTCGTAACTTCCTGCAAATCTATATAAACAGGAAAAGAGTGAAATTCACTGACCAATTCAATACGGGAAGGGTTAGAAATATTAGATATTTGACTTTTATTTAAAATCAAGATAACCTATTTGGTCCAAATCTTTCATCCTAAGAGTGACATATTATCTACAAACAGTTCTGAATCAAAACTGCACTTTAAGGTTCCCAAAAGTCTCTTTGATCACACCAAAACCATAATCAAATCTGGTGACAAATTAAATACTAAAAGGGTAAGAAATCTTAGTTATGAAACAATTATTTAAAAATTAGATAACCATTTCGGTCAAAATCTTTCATCCTTTTAGAAAAAGTGTTATATTGTCTACAAACAGATTGTCAATCAAAAATTGTACTTGTAGATTCACAAGTGTCTCTGATCACATGAAACCCATAACTCAATATCATTACACCTAGTAATTGAAGTATAACTTTACCTCAGCAGCAAGACTCAGGATCTCTGTATTCTTGTTTTTCTTGGTGTTTACATTGTAGTGTAACTTTGTACACAAATCTGTCAGGGATCCACTTCCTCCTTTACCGTCTGAAATTATACCAAACAGTCAGAGTATGTGAAACATATTTCATCAGAAAAGCATCATCTGGTCAGAGAAAATGATGTCTCATTGTATTTAAGAACTATGTAAGTATGATGTCCTAAACTGCCACATTGTGAGATCTGAGTACTGTGAGTCAGTGATTGGTTTTTGGATCATTTGACTCATGTGACCTTGAATGTAAGTCAAGGTCAACGATGGCCTAACATTTTCTATCTTGTCGCCAGATCCTTTCAATTGATGTGATTGTATTGTATTGTAAATGAATTTAAGTAATAATATATTGTTTAAACCAAGGTCAACAATTTTGATACGTTTTTAAGCCAAGCATACATTCTATGAATGTGCCAAATATCAAGTCTGTGTGTGTCTGGTTTACGGAGCAAAACAGTTTTAAGTGCCTTTTTTTGACAATTTTGAATTTTGGCAGGAAAATGGACATTTTTCAAAGTGGCATATCTTCGTCATTTTTTATGCTTTGACCTTGAAACTTTTCAAATATCTTCATAAGACCATGCTTTTTAAGACTGTTTTTGATAATTTCATTTTTGACCTTTACAGTGACCCTGTAGCGAGATCTACCTTGAACTTGATATATTCTCTGATAACATGTGATGGAAAAAGTTAGCCTTGACCAAGATCTTCAAAAAGTATTAAGCGTTCATGCAATACAACGAACGCTTAAGAAGTTATGGTCATTCGAAAAACATTAAAAAATGCTCTTCACTTTATCGATCAGTGACCTTTACTGTTAACATTATGATCATGATCATTTTCAAAAAATATAAGAGATCAATTTCCTCTATTACATATTGGAATATGAACATTATATCTGTTTTCATTCATGAGATAAACTGTTAACAAGATCGGTGGAAATAAGAATAATAAGAGTAAGAAAAAACCCATAACAAAAACAATAGTGATTTCCATCCGAAATGGATGGAAATTTTAATCCCTAATAACAATGACTTAGTTTCTGACCCCTAAAGCTAAACTAAAATGTGCAGAAAATGATGTTTGTGAACACAGATATAGAGGATCTCACATGAGTGTCTATGTCATATTGAATTAATAAAAGGAGATGTAAGATTCTATTCAACATTCATATTTTGAAAAACATCAAACACAATTGGGGTGTGTTATCAGCTGACTCTATATAGGTCAAAACCAAAGTACTCTGATCATAGCATTAATTGTCGTTCCGAGCAGTGCAAAGTATTTCCAGATATTTTTTTATTTTTGTTTTTAATTATGAACAGTTTTAAATGCAATGACAATACGTATGACAAAACATTCAAATTTATCTAAAATACCAGTAAATGTATCCTGTGGTATAGTAAATAGAAGTTGTACCTGTACTGGTCATTTTTCTTATGTAAATGTTTAATATATTGAAAGAAAATTTAAATTTTAGCTTTAAAAAGTAACACAAAAAATGTACGCATAGCTTGACAAAGTGACCAGTCGGCCTGAAACGTTGCGACACGTTAAATTTGTATATTGTTTGTGTAAAAAATAAAACTCTGATATCACATATTTCCAGACTGATAAATCTTCTTGAAGATTTTAAAAAGTGAAGACAAAAGACTAAGGAGAGTAAATCATTTAAGACTATAGGATTCCGTTATTCACACAATGCACAACACATTACATATATATCAAAATGAAGAAAATAACTAGAATTGTACTTTATGATAGAAACCCCTGATTGCACACCTTTTAACGAGTAAGATGGATGACAGTGCGTATCTTCTGTGTTTTGACATACAGAATGTGAAATGATGACATTCCACGTGTGTTTAACCACAGACTTAGATAATTCTGGGGTTTAACACAACATGTTTATCTATGTAAACGACGAGGTCAGTGACTTATCCTGATGACCATTGCCTTTAATTCAGCTGAGACAGTTTCTGTACCTGAAGCCTTTAATTGACCTATTATGTAGGGTTATGATGTAAATAACACTTGCCTTTATATGTAACCATGGATAGATATTATAATCATCATATTCCATGTTTGGTTTGGTTTGTTTGTGTTTTACATCCTAGTAACAGCTATGCATGGTCATTAAAGGACGTGCCAGGTTTCGGTGGTGGAGGAAAGCCTGAGTTCCCGGAGAAAAAACACTGACCAATGGCCAGTACCTGGCAACTGCCCCACATAGGCCTCAAACTCTCAATGTAACATATTTATAGTTCATTACCCCGGTCCACATTACTGCTTATAAACATGACTGGTTGGTTTTTATTGTAGAAATTATTAGCTTGGAATTTGTTTTAGTATAAGGATACTTCAGAATGAAAACTGTCTAATTTATAACCACTTCACCTGGGAACTATCTTAGCATGGAAAACTGTTTTTACTTTTGGAATACTCTAGTTAAGTTTGAAACTGTATTGACGTGGAACTCACTACACAGGTTTAGCTAGGAACTGTCTTTATTATGGGTAATTTATTGTGGATGTATTTTAGTTTGGCACTTTTTAATCATGGAACATTTTTAGTTTTGAACCTTTCAAGTCTGGAATGATATAAGTTTGGAAATGTTTCTGTTTTAACCATCCGAGGTATTCTCATACTTGAAATCTGTATAAACTTCAATGAAAATCTGTTAAAAAATGAAGTAGCTAGAGTGAGGACTGTAAATGATTCAATTGATGATTTTCTATATACAACAGTGACCTTGGCCTTGACCTTGGAACCCTATAACACAGAGATGCCTGGGGTATTCTCATACTTGACGTTTGTATAAAGTTTGATTAAAAGCCATCAGGAAATAAAGTCGGTTAACTGATGACACTGAATTGGTTGTTCATTTCTATAAATAGCAATGATGACATTGACCTTGGAATCCTAAAAAGCAAACGCATCTGATGTATTTGCATACGTCTGACATTTGTATAAAGTTTGAGGTAAATCCAACAAAGACCAAAGAATAAAGTTGCTTGAGTTTTTTTATGGCGGGGGATAAAAAAGAACCAGATCTAGAGGTTTTTTATGGCAGGGGATTAAAAAGAACCACTAGATCAAGAGTTTTTTTTATGGCGAGGGATAAAAAAAGAACCAGATCTAAAGTTTGACAAAAAAAATCGTCACCAACAAATAAATCTTTTGATCAGAGCTATTGACCTGTCTGACCTTATATATCACCCATATTCACTGAGCAGATTTATGATACCGCAGCAATCATTTGAATTTTGAAGTACTGGCAAAAAAGAGTTATGCATGTTTATAATCTGCCAAATACAACTAACCAACAAGTATGAAAACAAGAGGCCCAAGGGCCTTATAGCGGTCACCTGAGTTATATCATAGGTACTGGTAGCTTTATTTTATTGTTTAGATGTGATGTGGAAATCAGCATGTAAACTAAGTGAAATACAATACTTGTCATGTCATCAAAGGATAAGAATTTTAAAATATTTGTAAATGTTCCCTTTGGGGCCCCACTCTAACCCTTGGGGATGGGGCAGGAATTCCAAGTTTACAATGTGATACCGTCGTCCACCAAAGAGGATTCTGACCAAGTAAAAATAATTTCCAACAGAAAATTGTCAAAATATACCCAAAAGTGTTGTTTCCCTATATAAACTATAGTAAACTTTACCCCCTCCCCAAGGGAGAACGGATAGCTCGGGGGTCCTGAAATTTACAATTTAAATAAAGCCCCTGATGATCTTTCCATCCATGCAGAGAAAATGACTGTAATACCTCTGAGTCTGGAGAAGAAGATTTTTGAAATATTGGTTAATTTTCCCTTTTGGGCCCCGCCCTGGCCCCTAGGGTTGGGGTAGGAATCCCAATTTTACAATTTAAAACCATCTTCCTCCTCCAAGGATGATTCTGACCAAGTAAAAATAATTTCCAACAGAAAATTGTCAAAATATACCCAAAAGTGTTGTTTCCCTATATAAACTATAGTAAACTTTACCCCCTCCCCAAGGGAGAACGGATAGCTCGGGGGTCCTGAAATTTACAATTTAAATAAAGCCCCTGATGATCTTTCCATCCATGCAGAGAAAATGACTGTAATACCTCTGAGTCTGGAGAAGAAGATTTTTGAAATATTGGTTAATTTTCCCTTTTGGGCCCCGCCCTGGCCCCTAGGGTTGGGGTAGGAATCCCAATTTTACAATTTAAAACCATCTTCCTCCTCCAAGGATGATTCTGACCAAGTAAAAATAATTTCCAACAGAAAATTGTCAAAATATACCCAAAAGTGTTGTTTCCCTATATAAACTATAGTAAACTTTACCCCCTCCCCAAGGGAGAATGGATAGCTCGGGGGTCCTGAAATTTACAATTTAAATAAAGCCCCTGATGATGTTTCCATCCATGCAGAGAAAAGGGTAGGAATCCCAATTTTACAATTTGGTAGCCTCATCTACCAAGGATGATTCTGACCAAGTTTGAAAAAAATCCATCCACTGGTTCTTGAGAAGAAGTTGATAATGTAAAAAGTTGAGGCACGACGCACGACGGACGGAAAGTGATTGGAATAGGTCACTTGAGCAAAGCTCAGGTGACCTAAAAACTAGACAAGAATAATAAACTTTTGATCCAAAACATCTCAGCGAATCAGAAGTCATGGTAGCCATCTTGTTTTATAGTAATGGGTTAATAAGTTATCTTTTACGTAATGTTCACTATGTAACCATCTTGTTTTATAGTAATGGGTTAATAAGTTATCTTTTATGTAATGTTCATTATGTAGCCATCTTGTTTTATGGTAATGTGTTAATAAGTTTTCTTTTACGTAATGTTCACTATGTAGCCATCTTGTTTAATAGTAATGGGTTAATAAGTTATCTTTTATGTAATGTTCACTATGTAGCCATCTTGTTTTATGGTAATGTGTTAATAAGTTTTCTTTTACGTAATGTTCACTATGTAGCCATCTTGTTTTATATTAATGTGTTAATAAGTTATCTTTTACGTAATGTTCACTATGAAGCCATCTTGTTTTATGGTAATGTGTTAATAA